AGCCTGGAGTGCAGCGGCGCAGTCTCGGCTCACTGCAACCTTTGCCTCCTGGGTTCAACCGATTCTCCCACCTCAGCCTCCTGAGTAGTTGGGACTACAGGCGTGTGCCACCACACCCGGCTAATTTTTGTTTTTTGTTTTTTAGTAGAGACGGGGTTTCACTATGTTGGCCAGGCTGATCTGGAACTCCTGACCTCATGATCCGCCCGCCTTGGCCTCCCAAAGTGCTGGGATTACAGGCGTGAGCCACTGCGCTCAGCCTGGACAAAACCTTTCTTATAGATTGTCTGAACAAAGCACCCCCATTCCACTGACGAGAAAACAGGGCTGGAGAAGAAAAGACGCACAGCCACACGATGAATAGAGGCGGGACCAGGGCAGAACCTGGGGTCTCATGATGCCATCCCACCCTCCCCGTCAAGGGCTTCTAACTCATTCTCTCTGTTCATTCATCCTCAGTTGGCTGATTAGGAGACCGAGGCAGAGAACCAGAGGCTTGAATCTCTAAGCAACAGAAACCAACAACACAAACCAAGTCCAGGCCCAGAACCCAGGCTGCCCGGGCAGAGGAGATAGACCACGTGCTGGGGTTAGAAAGGAAAGGAGAGGGGAGGTTTGCCCAAGCACTGCGAGGCTTTGGCCAGGTCTGCCAGGGCAGAGGAGGGCAGGATTCCACCTGCCTGTGGTCCCAGGGCAGAGCCAGGCAGCCTCACCCCGACATAGTTCTTGGGGTGAAGGCCTGGAACTTCCAAAGGCACTTCATTCTCCCAGTTCCCTTTTCTCCCTCTTTGCTGTCATTTTTCTTTCCCCTTCTTTTTCTCCCTGGAGGCCCTAGTCTCCTTTCCCCAGTATGGTCGGCCCAACACAAGCTCCCCACAAGTAGATGTGGGTCAACCTTGCCCTCCGAGGGTCAGGTTCTGTAGGGTTTGCACCTGCTGAGCCGGACACAGAGGAAGAAAAGCTCAGCCAGACTTGGGGTGCAGCAGCTCTGTGTCCCTTGCATCAGCCCTGGAGAGGGGCAGGGGGTGGCTTGAAGGTGCAGTCTTCCTTCTGCCCAGAGAGGCCATATTTTTCATAAGACACACACCCCTGGCAACCCTCGGGAAAGTTTATGGAAGCCGTGTTTAATGCTCTGAGATGGCAGAGTGAGAAAATTATTCCCTGCCCACGGTGTGTTCAGTCCTTCTGCAAAGTCAAGAAGACAATGGCTACTGGAGCCAGAGGTCATCTCCTCTCCCCTCCCTCGTCTCGCCTTTCAGAGGACGAGCTCTGGGTCTTCACCATCTTTTCACTTTTTGCTAAAGCATAATACAAATTGGGTTTTACCACCATTTACTTTTATGCTTCCCTTTACCCTTTACTTATGGCAAATGATACTGATTTTCCACTTACAAAAGAGATGTCAAGTTTCCTTTCAAAACGGAGCTTGCATTGATAACAACAAGTGAGTCACGTAAATATCAACACAGTTTCAAGAGCACAAAGTGGATGACAGTCCTGAGAAGGAGCAGGTCCGGCAGGAGCTGCGGGGGGTGGGGCAGACTGAAGCGAGGGAGCTCGGAGGCTCCAGGGCTACTTTGTTCGACCTCCCTGAGCTCTGCCCAGTCCCCTGGGTTCCCGCCTCTCCTGTGGGCACCATGCAAAGCCAGTTCTCCCAGTTGGCTGCTGAGCCAGCTGCCATGGCTCGGACGCCAAGGGCACCCGGTGCCTTGCTCAGCCCCTGGCTCTCATTCCTGCTGGAAAGCTGAGAAGGAGCTGGTCTGAAGATCTTTTGGATCTCACTTGCTCCTAAGCCTGTGGCTGGGCTTCGTGGGGAAGAGGAAAGGGGGCCGCTCTTGGACAGTCTGTCTCAGCTCAGGGGCAGATGGCAGCCGGACTCCCAGAGCGGCTGCTCTGGGAACTCCTGGTAGAGTTAGTGGGGTAAAGCCACATGCGCAGGGCTGAAGGCACACAAGCGCCTGCTCCCAGAGCCAAATGGCTTTCCCCGAACCAGTATGAGGCCACGGGCTTGGAACACACACCTGCGGATCAGGGCAAAGAGGAGAGCACCCCCTGCCCAGAGTCTCCTGACATGTACCCATTCTCCAAGCCAGCTCGACAGCCCCTCCCGACAGGGTCTTCCTGGGTCTCCCCCACCACAAAATGAAAGCACTTGGCTCCCTGGCTGCAGGGTGGGCCCAGACTCCCCTGGCCCAGAATTCTGTTTCCATACCAGTCTCCCCAACCCCCTAAATGTGAGAGCTCAATGGGGTCAGGCTCTCTTGCATCTCCAGGCCCCTGCCCAGGTCCTGCCAGCTTGGACCTTGCACTCAACAGGGGCCAGCAAGTATCTGGGGAGCACAGCCCAGTGCCCCAAATCTTCTGGCCATCTGATTCCCTGGCCCAGGTGGCCAGGGTGCCTTGTCATTTGTGGGGGAATCTTGAGACGTGGGGGTGGCCTTCCTGCTCGCTTATGCCCTAGGCTACCCTATCTGGTTGTGCCAAAGCCATTGGCGCCTGGCTGTCCACAACTCCCCTTGGCTTCCCTGAGTCCTGCTTTGGGCGGTGCTCTCCCGTGATTGGCAAAAGCCTGATGGACCCCAAGCCTCAGCTTCAGCATTGAAAGTACCACCATCGATGGTCCTGCCTCTCTGGAAGGTGAAGTGTTCCTTCCTAAGAGTTGGCAAGAAATAGGAAATGGGGGAGTTCCTGAGTTTAAGGGTGGGAGAGGCACGTCCCACCTCACACCCTGGGGACCCGCTGGTAAGGCACAAAGCATGCTTCCCGAATTCTCTCACTCCAGGAGGCGTCTCAGAAAGGGAGCCTTGTCTGGGCACAGCCCTGGGCCTTCGAGGGCTCCTCTGTCCTCTCCAAGCCCCAGAAACTGGAGCTCCCTGGTACCTGAGTATAGCCTTGGCTAAAAGACCCCAGAAAGGTCTTTTAGCCTAAAAGACCACAAGGAAACAACCAGAAAGGGGAACGAGAGGGCAGGACCCAGCTCCTCCAGCACGAGTGGCAGGAGACGAGGGAAGGGGGACTACCTGAGAGGGCGGCCATCAGCAATCCAGTGATCCTGACGAAGAGCCACATGTCTGGAGCTGTCTCTGGCGGCTACTCGTGGCTGCCCGTGGGAAGCACCATCGTGGGCCCGGGAGGCGGACACGGTCTCTGTGCGTCCCTGGCACAGGTCTGCTCTGCCCTTTGCTGTTCCTGTTCCTGTGTCTCTCTACTCTCTCTGCTCTGACACGCATGCGACCAAACCCAGCCTGTGAGTGTCTCTCACGCCTCCCTGTTCTGCTTGTGGTTTTGGTCTGCAGGAAGCTGGGCTGCTGTCACAGGGGCTGGTGGGGAGAGCCCCAGCTGCCTGTGCTGAGAGCCCACCCATCCAGGCTGCACCCCAAGAGTCACAGAGCCAGACACATGCATGCACATACCTCCACACAAACACACTTCCCCGAGGGTCTTCTAAGAAGGGAAGTGGAGGGCCATGCCTCATTTCTGGTGGCCCAAAAGGAAGAACTGATAACGTAGTAGCTGATCAATCAATACATATTGGAAGACGGAGTGAATGACCCATGGCCTGTCCCAGTCCACGGAATTTGGCTCGCATGGATTAAATCCGAGTTTTACCTTAACCTTAGGTGCAATGGTGGCTGCAAAGGAAGGTGTAGTCTCGATGCCCTAAGTCTCTCCTCTGAGAAACATAATTGGGAAAGGCCTGAGAGACGACCATCCCACAAGTCCTTCTACAGAGAAGGGAGCCAAGGCCCTGTGGGAGCCGCCCCTGAGATGGCACAGTGGGGCCAGCACTGCCATCTCCAGGTACCAGAATGGGCGTGCCTCTACGGGAGTCAGGCATGGGAGCTGGGTCTACAAGGCTGAGCAGGATTTCGACAAGCAGCAGTGATGGGAGGCCTCTGGGCCAGGAGGAACAGCAGGAGCGAGGGGCTGAAGGAAGGAAGCCCAGGGCTGCCTGAGAAACCCTGAGTTGTCCCATTGCATTGCAGCAGACTGACGCGATGTGAAGAAGGCAGGGACCAAGTGTGCTTAATTAACCACGGTCCTCCCTGTGGAGCATACGGTAGGCGCTGAATAATGTTCTTGAATGAACACAGGAATAGATAATTTGGTTGTCCAAGCAGGACCCTGAAATCGGTCAAGTCCAGAAGGGGTTTGGTTCCAAATCCTGGCCCTGCCCCAGTTGACCCCATCCCGGGTCCAGCTCCCCTGGCCTCCCACTTCCTGCATCCTTGCCTGTCTTCATTTCCCCCACATGTGGAATGGGGAGGAGTATTCCTCCATTGGATTTGGTCTTAAAGGTGGGTGTAGGCATTTGATGTGGCAGGTATTGGAGCCACATGGAGCCAGCCAACTCCCCACCCCCCCGCCCACCAGATTGAGACCCCACCCAGTCCTGTCCCAGTGCTGACACCTGCTGCTGCTGCCCTCTGGTGGCAGTACAGATTTGCATGGGTGCCTGAGCTCCCATATGCAATTCCATTCATTTACAAAGACTTGGTGTGCAGAACTCTGGACTGGACTCTGTGGAACGGAAAAAGAGGAAACTATATTCCTGACTTCAAGGAGCATGGATTTCACACACAAGTGACCAAACCACAGGCCAGGGTAGGACACACATCATGTGAGGTCTCCTGATCCTAAGAGAAACCCGTTTGAAATGGGCCAGGAAGGATGGCTAGACTCCATTTCTGACAATATGGAAGACAGCATATGATGAAAAACTCCCCTAATACAAAACACCACAAAAATATTGTAAACCATGTTTTCAAACGTGTACCTGAGGCGGCAAGAAATGAAGAAAATTATCCGAGGTCAAAAATGACAAACCTGGGCAACATGGTGAAACCCTATCTCTGCAAAAGGTGCAAAAATTAGCCAGGCGTGGTGTTGTACACCTGTGGTCTCAGCTGCTAGGGAGGCTGATGTGGGAGGATTGCTTGAACCCAGGCGGTCGAGGCTGCAGTGAGCCAAGATTGTGCCACTGCACTACAGCCTGGGGGACATAATGAGACCCTGTATATATTAATATTTAAAGATAACAAAACAAAAATCCAGAGAGATCACAGCCAGCGAATTATCTGTTGATCCAGTTGACCAAGAACTTCAGTCTTACAAACATGGACAAAAGTTAAAGCTGAAACACAAAATCAAAGTGAAAAACAAAATGTGAAATCTCTACCTTAAACAAACAGCACTAAAATATAACATCCACAGCGGAGAACTTGGAGAGAAAAATTCCTTATAGGGAGCTGACACAGAGCTTGCCCAACTCTGCATGGACTCTGAGTGGGAGAAAAATAAACGTCAACCCTGAATGCCCCTCACCACAAGTCTACTGACTAACAGCCCTGGAGGTGGAACTCACGGTACCTGTATGGCAAAAACAACCACAAAACAACCAACCAACCAAACAAAAGGTAATATAAGCATTTAAAGTAAGGTAAACAATAGCTCCCTAAGCACGTGGCAGAAAATCCTCTCTGGAGTAACTCACCCTATATTCATGACGCAAAGAAATCCCACAGAAAAAGTTTCATGGAACATGAGTTCACATGGCTGTAAAAAAGAAAAATCATAAAACACGGGACACGAGGTGGCACAAAGTAATAAACTAAACATGTAGACCTTCAAACACATCTTAGATGTTGGATTATGGTATACAGAATGTGAAATCAGGATGTTTCATATGCTTAAAGAATTAAAAGCTGTTAACTGAAAGTATTGATAAGGAACAAGAGACTACTACAAATGACCAGAAAGATTTAGGAAAAAGAAGCAAGCAATTATGTAAAAACATAATTTTTGAAAATAGAAGCCCAATGTACAGATTAAACAGTAGATTAAGGCCCGGCACTTTGGGAGGCTGAGGCAGGCTGATGGCTTGAGGCCAGGAGTTCAAGACCAACCTGGCCAACACAGTGAAACCCTGTCTCTACTAAAAATACAAAACTTAGCCAGCTATGGTGACGCATGCCTGTAATCTCAGCTACATGGGAGGCTGAGGCATGAGAATTGCTTGAACCCAGGAGATGGAGGTGACAGTGAGCCAAGACTGCGCCACTGCACTCCAGTCTGGCTGAGAGAGTGAGAATCTGTCTCAAAAAATAAATAAATAAATAAAAATAAACAGCAGATGAATATGGCTGAAGAGACAACTAGTGAGCTGAACAACAGATCTGAAGAACTTACCCAGAATGGAGCAGAGGAGGACAAAGTGATGGAAAATCTGAACGAGGTTAAGAGACATAGACAAGGAACAAGGATTTAAATATGTCTACTAAGAGTTCTAGAAGGAAATGAAAAATTTCTAGAATTGATGAACGACACAATCCTCAGATTCTGGAAGCTTCCCCAACCCAAGCATGATAAATAGAAACAAATCTACGTCAAACTTTCCGGTAGCAAAACTGCTGATCACTAGACATAAGATGGAGTGATGATGAGGAAGATGGGCAGCTAACATCTCAACATCAACTATTACAGCCCCGAGACAATGGAACAACGTCTCGAAGTACTGATGAAAAATAGCTGTCAATTTTGCTTTTCTTTCAAGTATAAGGTTTAAAAGACACATTTTCAGATGAAAATTGAGAGCATTTATAACTAATAGACTCTCACCTAAGGGAATTCTAAAGGATGTTCTTCAAGAGTAAAAAAGGCAATCTCAGAAAACAAGGCTAAGATTCAAGTAAGAATGGTGAGCAAAGAAATGTGTCAACACAGAAGTGGATTGAATCAGCATTGATAGCATAAAACAATGACAAAAATGACCAATTCATGGGGTTAGGAAAAAATGAGATAGGCTGGGCTTGGTGGCTCATGCCTGTAATCGTAGCATTTTGGGAGACTGAGGTGGGTGGATCACTTGAGGTCAGGAGTTTGAGACCAGCCTGGCCAACGTGGCTAAACCTTGTCTCTACTAAAAATACAAAAATCAGCCAGGTGTGCCTGTAATTTCAGCTACTCAGGAGGCGGAGGCAGGAGAATTGCTTGAATCTGAGAGGCAGAGCTTGTAGTGAACCAAGATTGCACTAGTGCACTCCAGCCTGGGCAACAGAGTGAGACTCAGTTTCAAAAAAAAAAAAAGAAAAGAAAAAGAAAAAGAAAAAAATGAGATAAAACTAAAGAAACCATAAAACAATAACAAATTGGTGAGGAATGACAGAGTGGGAAAGTTCTATTATTTGGTGGGAGGGCAAAATATTGACTACCGTTTGACCTTGTTCAATTAAACATGCATGTTAAACTAGTTGAACAATAAAATGGAACCTGTTGGGCGAGAGAAGCCTGCTGTAAAGCCAAAGAGGCGGGAAAGGAAAAGAAAGAAATGAAATAGGGAGAACAGGACAAACTGAAGGATTGGTAGGTTTCAGCAGGTAGCTCCGGTGTTGGGTGGTGGGAGGGGGTCCTGGAAGGACACAGGGTAAGTAGAGGCAAGACAGCACAATGTGAGTCTTGTTCCAGCTAGATTGACATGAAACAACTCAAGCAGCCCATGTTTCACAGACATGAAGCTTCAAAACAGAAGCTGAAAGGTGTACCCAGCTGGGTGTCCAAATCAGTGAGCTCATTTTTATTTAAAGCTCTTGGAGCAGGACCTTCTGAACTCAGTTTGCAAGGGACACCCAGTGGCTCTGCATCCTGTAGAGGACTCAGGAGTTTTTCATCCAGACTGTATCTCCCTCCTGACCTTGACCCAGCAAAATGGAATAAACAACATTATTGAGGGAAGCCTGACTCTCCCACCAGAAGGAAGAGAGGACCTAGAACCGAAAGGCCGCCACCCCCACCATGTGGCACAGGGGAGTTTAATGCTGACGGATACTCAGTGAGCACTTCCTATCGTGCCAAATACTTTACATGGAATCTTAACCCTCAATTCTGACTGCAACTCAACCAAATAGACTGTGTCCTTAGCACAGCTTTGCAGACAAGGGCACTGAAGTTAGATAGGTAGTTTGCTCAAGATCCCACAACTGGCCGGGTGCGGTGGCTCATGCCTGTAATCCCAGCACTTTGGGAGGCTGAGGCGGGCAGATCATGAGGTCAGGAGTTTGAGACCAGCCTGGCCAACATAATGAAACCCCGTCTCTACTAAAGAATACAAAAAAATTAGGCAGGCCTGGTGGTGAGCAAACGTAATTTCAGCTACTTGGGAGGCTGAAGCAGGAGAATTGCTTGAACCTGGGAGGCAGAGGTTGCAGTGAGCTGAGACGGCACCATTGCACTCCAGCTTGGGCGACAAGAGTGGAAGTCCATCTCAAAAAAAAAAGATCCCACAACTAAGAACTAGTAGGGCTAGGCTTTGAACTCAGGTCTGTTTGGATGAAGACCCTGGGCTTTTAACCACACGGAATTCAGCCTTTATGGGGAGGGCTGGGGAGATTGTGGTACAAGTATATGGGCTTTGGCTGAAACATGGCACCATGGGTAGGAAAAGGTTTGGTTCTATCAGACTCTGAATTTTGGACCAGCCCTGCTCCTGGGCCAAGCCACGCACACTCCTTAGTCTCTTGAATCCTGAAATTCCTCTATCCTGACCACAGTCTCCAAATCAGCCACAGTCAAACCTTGTCTTTCCTGAGGCCCGGAATTTTCTACCATGTTCTAAATATTTAACATCTAATTGTATATACATTAGCGCTAATCACATAGTCATTCATTCAACACAACTTTATCATGTGTTCTAGGTGCTGGGACACTACACGGGCCAAAACAGAGAAATATCCCTGTTTTTACAGAGCTTACATTTTAGTGGGAGAGAAACATATAAATAATAGACATAATAAATAGATTATATTAAAAAAAAAAAAGGCAGAGCCGTGTAAGAGAGGCTGGGAGTGCTGAACAGGGGTTACAATTGTACATGCATGGTGTCTTAGCTTAGCCTCTTCCCCCTCAAACAGAGCCTGGAACAAGGGCTTGTTTGCGACAGGTGATATGGGAATGTGATCCAAGGGAATGGGTTGAGGAACAAAGAGAAAGAAATAGGAAAAGGAGGAAAGTCAATAAAAGGATGCATTGTTGAGTTGGTCACACTACGTACAACTGGTACTCGATCTTAGACTTCCGAAATGGTTCTCGTGACTGTCTGCCCCATGTGTGGTCCCATTGCACCAGCACTGATGTGGCCATGGAGAAAAGCTGCCAATGTCCTTTTTTGTGTTTTGAGACAGAGTCTTGCTCTGTTGCCCAGGCTGGGGCACAGCAACACGATCTTGGCTCACTGCAACCTCCACCTCCTGGGTTCAAGCTATTCTCCTGCCTCAGCCTCCCAAGTAGCTGGGACTATAGGTGTGTGCCACCACGCCTGGCTGGTTTGTTTCTTTTCCTTTTCTTTTTTTTTTTTTTTTTTGTGTGTGTGTGTATTTAGTAGAGACAGGGTTTCATCCTGTTAGCCAGGATGGTCTCGATCTCCTGAACTTGCGATCCGTTCACCTCAGCCTCTCAAAGTGCTGGGATTACAGGCATGAGCCACAACACCCAGCCTAATGTCCTGTTGATAGCCGTAGGCCTCCCTGTGGTAGAGCTTCTTTGCTGGGCATTAACACACATTGTATCCATCCACATGCCTCTACCCCAGATATCCTTATCTCTGGTTTTCCAGTCTTGTTCCTTCCAACCCACTGCCCAGGAGCCCATGTATATCCACACATCAACCCACTTGTCCTTCCATATACAGTGAATGGCCAAAGGTACTCTCCCATCTCTGCCCACTGCCAGTATTTCCCTTTACCACTGTCCTTCAGAGCCACCTCTGAGTGAGGCTGCAGTGCAGCTTCTGTCCATTTCTGGTTAGTAACAACCTCTTGTGCTGCCCCATTTGTGAACCAGGTCTGAAGTTTCCCTCTTCTATCAAAAGGAGCTCTCTCAAGGCCATAGATGTGAGTCAAAAGAGAAATATGGATGCAAAGAGGCAGGTGCCATCTGTTCATGTAACTTGCTTGTGCCTTCTGGTTCTGCTTGTGTTTGAAGCAATTGGACAGCTGCTGCCCTTCTCCTCAGATCTTATAACCTGGTGTGTATGGCAATACCCAGCTTGTGATGGGGTCTTGTGGTCCCCTAGTTGTTGGTGACCCATCGTCAGGCACAAGCCTCTATCAGGGCCCAGCAGCACCCCAGGATGTCGTTTTAAAATGACAAGCATTTCTCTGCTGCAGGAGCCATGGCTTTGGTTTGGCACCCTAGAGATTTGTGCTGCAAAATCCTCTTTTTTGAAGCCTTCCAGAGAGTCCATATGGCGCCCTTATCCATGTGGGTATCTCAGATGTGACCAGACACGATTGTACTAGGGCGGCATAGCAGCTTGCACCACTGCCTGGACCTGCCACGGAGCTTTCTCTTGTGCTGGGTCCTACTCAGCACTGGCAGCCCCCCAAGTCACGTGATAAATGGTCCGACAGAATTCCCCAGGACGCTTTAAAACCTAGAAGGACCTACCCTGTGCTGTGTCTCGTTCTTAGTGGTGGGGGATGCGAGGTACAAAAGCTTGTTTTTACCCTACAGATAATGTCTCAACATGCCCCAGACCTTGGGACGCTTCAAATCTTTCCCAATATGGCAGCCACCAAGATCCTTATGGAGCTTATTTCTCCCCTTTTAGCATACAGAGGGCAGCAGTTCTCACATTTTTTTTTTATCAGAAGACCCCTTTATAGTCTTAAAACTTATAGAGGAACCCCAAAGAACTTTTGTTCATGTGGGTCTTATCTACTGATATTTATCATATTAAAAATTAAAACTGGTCAGGCGAGATGGCTTATGCCTGTAATCCCAGCACTTTGGGAGGTGAGCAGATCGCAAGGTTAGGAGATCGAAACCATCCTCACTAACGTGATAAAACCCCATCTCTATTAAAAATACAAAAAAAAAAAATAGCCAGGCGCGGTGGCACTCACCTGTAGTCCCAGCTACTTGGGAGGCTGAGGCAGGAGAATCCCTTGAACCTGGGAGGTGGAGGTTGCAGTGAACTGAGATTGTGCCACTGCACTGGGCAACAGAATAAGACTCTGTCTCAAAAAAAAAAATTAGAGGTTGGGAAGAGTAGTGGGGGTGGGGGAGTGGGGATGGTTAATGGGTACAAAAATAGAGCTATATAGAATGAATAAGAACTAATATTTGATAGCACAACACTGTAACTACAGTCTATAATAATTTATTGTACATTTAAACATAACTAAAAGCATGTAATTGAATTGTCTGTCACACAAAGAAAAGATAAACGCTTGAGGTGATGGACACCCCATTTACCCTATGTGATTATGACACATTGTACCTGCATCAAAATACCTCAGGTGAGCCAGGTGCGGTGGCTCACGCCTGTAATGCCAGCACTTTGGGAGGCCGAGACAGGTGGATTGCCTGAGCTCAGGAGTTTGAGACTAGCCTGACCAACAAGGCGAAACCCTACCTCTACTAAAAATACAAAAATATTACCCAGGCGTGGTGTTGTGTTCCTGTAATTCCAGCTACTCAGGAGGTTGAGGCAGAAGAATCACTTGAACCTAGGAGGCGGAGGTTGCAGTGAGCCAAGATAGCACCACTGTACTCCAGCCTGGTGACAGACTGTCTCAAAAAAAAAAAAAAAAAAAGTACTCCAGAAATATACATACATATACACACACATATATATACCTACTATGTACCCACAAAAATTAAAAAAAAAAGAGTTTAAATAGAAAACTGAGATATTTTAAATATTTACTTAATTAATTTTAAAATACCAACCACAAACTCATTATACGTCAATATAGATAACATTTTCTGTGAAAAATTACTATATATCCCAAACCTCACAAAATTATTGGGGGCCGGGCATAGTGGCTCACACCTGCATTCCCAACATTTTGGGAGATCAAGGCAAGCCTATCGTCTGAGGTCAGGAGTTCAAGACCAGCCTGGCTAACATGATGAAACCCTGTCTCTACTAAAAACACAAAAACTAGCCAGGTATGGTGGCAGGTGCTTGTAATCCCAGCAACTCGGGAGGCTGAGGCAGGAGAATTGCTTGAACCCAGGCAGCAGAGGTTGCAGTGAGCCGAGATGGCACCAGTGCACTCCAGCCTGGGTGACAGAGTGACACTGCATCTCAAAAAAAAAAATTATTGCAATATTATTTTATATTTTTGAAAATGTCTTGAACATCCAGCTTTGTAGAAGCCACCTGGAGTCTCATATCTGCTTCATTTAAGTTGTGGAGATATGTTATTTAGGTTGAAGTATAGGGGAAAAAATCTGGCATCACAATATGGAGTAGATAAAAGGAGGAGTATTTTAAGAGGCTTTTAAAAGTAATTGTAGATATTCTTCTCTGATACCATGACAAAAGTTGGCAAGTGATAGTTTCTAAAGGTTAGTTCCGATATGAAATGTGAAATCATATCAATGACCTTTTACATATTTTTAAAGTCCATTGTTCTATCTTGTACTTTGAATGGATCTCTTATCCAGGCATGATTTTGTGAAAACATGGCTCTGTCACTGTTGAACATACTGGTTCACAGATGCGGAAGTTACACGGATCTTCCAAATGCTGACATATTTCGTTACACAACATCGAAAATCACATTCGTTGATATCATCTCTGATCCCATCAGAAAACCTTAAGTATCAGGAAGATGTCAAGATCATGACACGGGTTTTCTAACATTTGAATTTTTACTTAGCTCTAATTTCCTCATTGGCAACAAATACTGTCGTATTCTTTCAAGTGACAGGCTCGTTTTGTTCATTTTCAAAGAGCTGTCTGCCAAATTTTGAAGTCTGAATAACCACAGCTTCAAGTAAAAATGGTGTTCCATGGGGGAAAAATCTAGTTCAGCTGGCAATCCAAAAATAGCACAAGTGTTCTTCCCAGAGCAACCTTCATACTGTAGTATTCGGCAGGAGTCTTTGTGCTTACTTCTCATTTGTCACATAGAATAAATATTGTGCTTTAAGAATATTAATAATTTGTTTGGGCATGGTGGCTCACGCTTATAATCCCAGCACTTTGGGAGGCCGAGGCGGGCGGCTCACTTGAGGCCAGGAGTTCGAGACCAGCCTGGTCAACATGGTGAAACCCTGTCTCTACTAAGTAAACAAAAATAAAATAGCTGGGCATGGTGGGGAGCGCCTGTAATCCCAACTACTCGGGAGGATGAGGCAGGAGAATCGCTTGAACCCAGAGGGCAGTGGTTGCAGTAAGTGGAGATGGCGCCATTGCACTGCAGCCTGGGTGACAAGAGCGAGACTCTGTCTTAAAAAAAAAAAAAAGGAATATTAACAATTTAACTGCTTCACTTAGGACATTCTTAAGTAACAGAATGCATCTTCTGAATGCATGAGGATGAAAAATCCAACAGCTCCTACTGCAGCTTGACGCCACTGCTTTTTTTTTTGAGGCAAGGTCTCACTCTAGCCCAGTCTGGAGTGCAGTGGCACGATCTTGGCTCACTGAAACCTTCACCTCCCAGGTTTAAATGATTATCCTGCCTCAGCCTCCCGAGAAGCTGGGACTACAGGCATGTGCCACCATGCCTGGATAATTTTTGTATTTGTAGTAGAGATAGGGTTTAGCCGTGTTGGCCAGACTGATCTTGAACCCCTGGCTTCAAGTGATTTGCCTGTCACAGCTTCCACACTGCTGGAATTACAGGCGTGAGCCACCGCCCCTGGCCTGGTGCCACAGCCTTGATTCATGTGAAGGCACAAGCAGTTTTACTCAACATTGCTTTTGCTCCAGGCAAATTATGTCAATGAAAAAGGCAAATTGTATCTTTATGTTGATATGCAAATAATTTTGACCTCGTGGACCATTGAAAGGGTCTCAGGAATCCTTAGAGGGCCATGAACCTCCCTTTAAGAAGGGAGAGAAGAAACATGGTGCTCAGAGCTGAAACTTAGCATCTTGAATATCTGAGCTAGTTCTTCTCCTAAGCATTGCCTGAGACACGTAAGCCATTTTCAAGGGGCAAGCCCAGCTGTCCATTCTCCCTTATGTATAGGATTCTAAGGTGCCTGATCAGTTTCAACTGAGGTGTGGTGTTCACTGATCTGAACGCTCCATGAAGGAACTAATCAGCCTGGGGTCTAGCAGAGTGATGTCCCCTGATCCCAAATTTAACCTTTATACAAAAATCAAAGTCTCAGAACTACATTAGAGGGACTCTGGAAAATAAGGAAAAGAAAAAAGTCACCTATCATCACATTAGCTTGACAACCACTGCCATGCTGTAGCCTAGGGTGGCCCAAAGGTCAACCCATCTTGAAGTTACTGTTGTTGAAAAAAATCCCAAGGCTATTGTTTTTGTCTTGATGCTGCTAAGTCACATCATTCTGGCCTTTTCCAGTCAGGTCTTAGGTTCCCAGGAGGGGGACCTGATATTCACATCTGTCCACTCCATTCATATACAGCTGCCCTGTCAATGGTCCATAATCCATTGGCCGAATGGTCTAACCCTTCCAGCTTCCTGTGATCTGCACACAGAAGGCATCCATGTCAGTGGCTCTTTCCTAAATTCCCTGTTGGGGCTTAGAAAACAATACCCCAAATAAAGTCCTCCACAGTAGCCTCAGAAGCAAACGTTTTTCTTTTTCCTCTTTTCTTCTTCTTTTTTTTTTTTTTTTTTTTTGAGATGCAGTTTCTCTCTCTGCCCAGGTTGGAGTGCAATGGCACAATCTTGGCACACTACAACCTCTGCCTCCTGTGTTCAAGCAATTCTCCTGCCTCAGCCTCCTGAGTAACTGGGATAACAGGCGTCTGCCACCAAGCCCGGGTAATTTTTGTGTGTGTATTTTTAGTAGAGACGGGGCTGGCCAGGCTGGTCTCGAACTCCTGATCTCAGGTGATCTGCCTGCCTAGGCCTCCCAAACTGCTTGGATTACAGGTGTGATACACTGCATTCATCCTCAAATGTTTTTCTCCTATCTCTCAGTACCGTTTCCCTCCAAGATTAGCCATAGAAACTGGAATCCCTCCTCCCTAAGGCAGGCCATAGAAGCAGAACCCCTTTCCCCCAAAGTCAGCCATAAAACCTAATTATATTTCTCTAAGTTTCCGTCCACCTTTCTGTATAAAAACTGGCCATAAAGAAATTATCTTTGTTTGGCTTTGACTGTATATAGGTTGTAAGACTCCCATTCCAAAGAGAGGCCCATCCTATCCCCAGAAGGAAGGAATGCAGCACAGAGAGGCCAAGAAGAATCTAGACAGATAGGCCTTGCTGGGTTTCTCAGTCTGTTAGCATTAGATCATATCCTTTTTGTTCAATTCTTTTTTTTTTTTTTTCTGAGACAGAGTCCCGCTCTTATCACCCAGGCTGGAGTGCAATGACTCGATCTTGGCTCACTGCAACCTCCACCTCCTGGGCTTAAGCAATTCTCATGCCTCAACCTCCTGAGTAGCTGGGACTACAGGTGCATGCCACCACATCTGGGTAATTTTTAAAAATATTTTGAGTAGAGACAGGATTTCGCCATGTTGGCCAGGCGGGTCTCGAACTCTTGATCTCAGGTGATTCACCCGCCTTGGCCTCCCAAAGTGCTAGGATTACAAGTGTGAGCTACTGAGCTCAGCCTGTTCAATTCTATATCTACATGGCTCTCCATACTTTGTTGAACCTAAGCGTAAAAGTGAATGAGTTCCCTCAGATCTTTGGGTCTTCACTCTGAGGGCTCCCGTGTACACACGTTAAATACATCTGTATGCCTTTTCTCCTATTTATCTGCCTCTTGCCCGTGATTTTTCAGTGAACCTTCAAAGGGCAAAAGGGAAGTTTCCCCTTGGTGCCCTCCTACACCCCATGGGAATTTGAATCTTGTATTATAACTTTTGATGGTGAAACCACCGGTACTGATGGTGTAT